GCAGCATTTATGGGTACCTTATTTTACAGCAGATCTGTTGTCTTACTCTCTTAGAAATCTTTTTCCCTTTCCTTTCAGACACCCAGTGGGCTCCCTGCCGTCAGTAGTTTTGTGTCAGCACCAGCCATGCCTCCCTACGCAACACCAGCCCAAGTGTCACCTTACATGACGTACAGTGCCACCCCATCCGGCTACATGGCGAGTCACGGCTGGCAGCACGCTGGAGGCACCCCACTGTCCCCACACAGCTGCGACATCCCCGCCTCTCTGGCGTTCAAGGGCATGCAGACGGCCAGGGAGGGAAGCCACTCGGTCACGGCCTCTGCTCTCTGATGCAGGAGCTGGTCCAGAACCACCACAAGCCTGCTGGGTGGTTGTCCCCTGAACCTGGCTCACAAACTGTTCTCTTTGTGCTGGAGATACCTGGCATTTCTCCTCATGACTTGTCTCCTGTAAGGCTTTTAGGATTAAAAGAGCCGAAGACATCAGAAACTGACAGAACTAGTGTTGTGCTCTTTAAGTAAAGACCTTGCATCCCTCAAAGGGCTTGTGGAGCCTTGTCCCACTCTCTCCTGGTCAAACCACACATATTTATTCTTAATCATCACAGACTTTCTAAATGTGCAATTGTTATTAAGATTTGTGTAAAATCAATAAAGAAAAGTCACCTCAGAAAATTCTTCTATGCCTTGAATCAGCAAAGGCGGTTAAAAAGGAGGCGTTTGCCAATTGCCTAAAGAACAACCCTTTCATCAACAGGGTTATACAATCCACTGCTATTAAGAGATCACTTTTGGTTGTTTTGTTGGGTTTTGGCAATCAAATATAAAACCAAGGCAGTAGGCGGCTCTCAGATTCTCCTGGTATGTTGCCATCGTCAGGTGGTAGTAATACCTTTGTGTTTTTATCCATTTGTAAATATAGGCTTTTGGCAGCATTTTGTTTTCACCTTCCAGTACATTTATTTTCCTTTTCTAAGTTAAAAAAGTTTTTGATTTTCTAGCTATTTTTCTGTGTCTTTGCGTGATGAGGTGACAACCTCAGGTGATGAGGTTTAGGTAGGGGTTTTTTCATTGTGTTTCTGTGCCTACAGTAGAGGCTTCAGCATCTCTGAAATACAGTTATCTCTTCAGCAGAAGATTCAAAGGCAGAAATCTAGCCAAGTAACTACCCCCCAGCATATGGAGTCTTCCAGATTCTTGAAACTCCACATTTGTGTTAAGCGTACAAACAGAAATGGGTGGGAAATATCTGAACAAACTGAAAACTGTAGGGGAAAATGCCATTAGAGTGCAGCCTGTGCAGAGATGCTTACAAAATCATGTCAGTCAACAGAACTGCTGAGGAACAGAGTTGTACCATCACTGTCGGTGCACTTGTGCGCAGCATTTTTGGCCCAAGATTATGTTGTAATTTTTTTTAAGAGAAAGTTGTCCTTAATTTCTGCTTTAATGAATGTAAAATATGGCTCTTGGTAAAGTTTACATTGTTCTGAAGCATTTTTTTTTCCCTTATAGGTATACTGGTGGTGGTGCTACAAACACAGATATTATTTAATATTAACAAATTCCCCCTCTACATTTCTGTATCCATTGGCAAGTACTCTGTGGCAGTTATTTTGCTTTAAACTTTAATCCCAGGAGAGCTAACGTACTGATCTTTGAAAATCTACCTGTTTTCCTTGGGCAATAATAAAGTTCTGACTATTATTCCAGAATGCTGTAGGTATGTTTAGAATATGAATGTGGGAAAAAAAAAAAAAAAGCCTCCTGATGTGACATTCCATATTCTTCATAGGATATTAATATATTTTGTATTTTTATAACTGTTGTGCAATAACTTAAATCACACTAGAGACAGTTAAAGCAGAGGAGAAAACTTCATTCTTAAAATATTGCTCTATCTGCATACCATATTAAACGTTAATTCAGTGGGAAGGTAAAATACAGTCCCCTCCTAAAATACAGTCCTCTCTTTGTGGATTTCCAGCTTTCATCATGGAGACAGCTGTGGGGAAGTTTTCATAAGAATCTAAGTAACCAGTTTGTATGTTATATACAGTATATCCACTGAAATTTAGATGGACTCAACTGGCTGCTGCCACCTTTGCTTTTTGCATTAAAAAATAGTTAATAGAACTCTATTTCTATAAAGAACACAGGTATTATGGCCCTAAGGAAAGAAAGATCTGATCCGGATGTGATCCTGTATTCTTCAGCCTCAAAGGCATTCAGCAGCTGTTTGGCTTTAATGAGATGCTGAAACCCTTGTTATTCAGTGGAACACATTTTCCAAGAACGCTGCTTTGAAACCACTAAAGGTAACGTGCACACAAGTGCATTTCCAGTCTGCCACACTGTTAGTGATGTGATGGATGTTATTCTGCTTTTATGCAGCTGTAGATGGAAGTAAGATGAGCCTTAACACTATGGAAAAGAAATTGCTTTAATTCTAGACAAGCTCTTCACTAAAAATGAAATGGAGAAGAAAGATAAGAAAAAGATCATGAATCAATAAGTCATTAAGTTGGCAACAGGATCTTAGCTTTCAACCTAGTTGCTTTACTGGACTGTAGAATTATAGAGTAAGTCTACCTATTGTTACACATACAGCACAAACAAGGTGCATCAAAGGAGGAAAAAACCCCAAAACCCAACCCCTTGAAGAAAAGGATGAGAAGCCTTGCATAGTGTGGCTTTTTGAGCTCCAAGAATTCACAAACCTGTAACAAAGTCTGCCTGTGTTAAAAGTTTCCAGAATTTTCCTGAGCAGTGTGAGAGGTCATTTGTGGAATAAAAGCCATCTTTTCTGATATTCCCATGAGGTATTAGTGTGGTTTGAGTGATATTAAGAGAGACAGACCCTTAGCTTGTATCAGTTGTTTGCATTATCTTGTCTTCAGCTAAATCAGGATATTTTATGAAGCAAAGGCAAGACATGATGTTAATTATTCCTTATGTGGCAATACACCATCATGAACCATTTTTATTTTGTGTTTGTTTAGTTGCATCTCTGTGCATATATGATACCCTCAAGCGGAAGGTCAGTGGGGCTGTGCGCAGATAGGGTTGCTCAGATTGAGCAAAGGTACCTGACCTTGGTTCTTGGTGAGGCATTTTTTTGGTGTGAATTTTCATAACAATTTTATTTATTATTCTTTTTTAATTCTTCAGTGAAGAACACTACCTTTGCCCAAGGACCTTTTCCCTGCTTATACTCATGGTTAAACTGAAAAATGCACCGCGTTAGCTTATTAACCACATAACTTTTAAAGTCACTTTACAACAAACAAAGGAGAGAAAGGGATTTATTATTAATATTTTTAATAATAAACAAGAGTCAGCCGCTGCTGTCAGGTACAGGGGTATAAATTTGGAGTGAACCCACTATGATGAATGGATTAATTTGGGAAATATGCAGTATATGTGAGTGCAGAATTTAAGCTTTTAATCTGAAAAGCTTACACTCCATTCACAGAATGAATGTCCCTCTATGACAGCCCCACTGTGTTTGCATGGTCATGGTACAAACAACCTCCAGTGTAAAACTGAATCAGACCCCATATTACACCATACAGTGATGGGGGAATGGGCTGGCACATTCATGGGTTTGTTTTCTAAACTATGCTGTATTTTCTGCTTTCTATTGGTTCTCTCTTTATCAAAGATCAGGCTGAGCTATTAACTGAAAAAAAAAATAATCATGTTGGAAAGGATGTAAAACTGAAGGCTAGATATGTATATACAGTATGTTTAAAGCCTTTTATTTTTATATTTTGAATGCTCTAAATTAATAAAAGACTAATTATAATGAATTTTGCTTTTAATTTTCAAAATTATCTTAGTAGTGTCTTCTATTTGGCTAAGTACCTATAATGAAATGCAATGAGGAACATTTGCCTTAAAATTATAAATTGTAACAGAGTTAATTTTATTGATTTTAGCTATGAAGTAGAATAGGTATGAGAAGTCACTGTTGTCAAATTTAGGTAAAAGAGAGGTTTAGTAAGCATGTCAGTACAAGCACCCTTGAAAATGCTGAGAACGCATTTCTATTTTTAACTTTTTGTTGTTTTTTCTAACACATTAAAAACCCTCATGAGACCACACTTCACATGCGACCTGTCATTTTCAAGTAACAATCTGGAAAGTTGTTTCTTTAGGATTGTTGGGAAAAAGGTTCGTGCCTCCTTAAGGGGAAGAACATTCAAAGTTAACAGTGTTAATGTAGTATGGGGCACAGCTGCATGAACTGAAACTATGTCTTCAATCAGCATAGCAGAAACTGTATTTCACAGAGCTAGCTAGAATGGGTAGTAAGAAAAGCAACAACATTAGCTTTTGAGCAACATTTTTTGTATCTATAGAAAGGTGTATTTCTTTGAGGTATAGGGTGGCTAATTACAACTGCATATGTTCTATCAGTCTAGAACATCATTTCTCTCACATGGTGGTAATGAAAGGCTAAATGGGCAGCTCTTTACACAATAGTATACAAAGGTTGTGGCTAGTAGAGCTGTCCCTTTTCTATCCTCCCTCAACAACTTCAGAAGCTCCTCTGTAAAAGTTGAAAACACACTGGACTGAATGGAAACTGGATCTAAGACTGACGCAAGAGTTGTTTGCAGAGTATAGGTCATGTTCTCAGCCTGGAGTCAATGGAGCTGGCAGTTTACACTGGCTTAGTATGTGGCTCCACAGGATTATTCCATTTTTTTCTTCTAAATCCCCTGAAAGTTACCTTTCATTTCAGCTGATTTTTAAGTGTATTTACTACATAGTATAATGCAGTATCCAGTTGTCCTTGAAAAACTAAATTGTTCCTATGTGTTCTATATATATATTTCTTCTTTTGTAAAACAGTTACAAATATCAACTGTGCTATTTACTTATGCACTTTGAGAAGAGCATGTGCTTAAATGTTTTCTTGGATCAGGACCAAATTTGTCTTGAACTGTACTAACACCAGTGTAATCTGAGGGCATTCAACACCATAAAGGATGAGAATCACTTTTACTTTATTAAAGTGTGTTTTAGAATGCATTTATTTTAAAGAATACATTTTTCTGAAGTGCTACTTGTGATCAACTGTGTCCTGAAGCCATGCATAAACGTATTCGTAAATCAAAAGCATCACTGCACCACCTGGAAGAAAAGATATTATTTCACTACATAGAAAATCCAGTATTTTCAAGGTTTTGTAGAGCATTTATAGTGTGTAATCTAAACCAGAACATGGCAAAGCCTTATTTGCAAAATGGATAATTCTACTAATTCCTTAATTCATTAAAAAAATCACCAATTATTAAAGTATACCAATTTTACATAATATTAGACCGTAAAGTTGATGTGAAAAGCTTGTATTTTAAATCAAAATGACCCTGAGTGTGATGTTTCCTAACATTTTGTCAAGTTTCATATTTTCCTTTGTTCTTTCACAAGTGAAGCTTTTCATCTAAGTATGTGTGTATTTACATGTTTGTTTAGAGTTAGATCTGGTCATGAAAGAGCAATTTCAGTGGTGGAATGACAAAAATTCATTACCAGGGTGATGGAAATGCTTCCAGGTAAGATTCAAGAAAGGTTTTCAGTGGTTTGTTTACCATGTCTAAAGCAGAAGATCACCGTATTGAAACAAATATCTTTCTGTGCCTGTACCTGGCTATGCATTCACAGGCAAAGTTTTGATCTGATGAATCACAGAATCACAGCATGGTTTGGGTTGGAAAGGACCTTAAGATCAAGTAGTTCTAACCCCACTGCCATGTGCAGGGATGCCTCACCTTAGACCATGTCGCCCAAGGCTCTGTGCAACCTGGCCTTGAACACTGCCAGGGATGAAGCATTCATCACTTCTTTGGGCAACCTGTTCCAGTGTTTCACCACTTTCACAGTAAAGAACTTCTTCCTTATACCTAACCTGAATTTCCCCTGTTTTAAGTTATGAAATGACATTATCTGCTAGAATAGTTTATACTGGTAGTGACATAAAATCCCAGCTTGAATGTCATAAAGTATTTTTACTGTTAGAGAAGACAGACTAAAGCTCTTCTGTAATCAGGCTGTATGAGCTAAAGAAGGGAACATTTCACAAGGTGTGCATACAGATATATAACTAAGCATACAGAGAAACTTCTAATTGGAAAAGATGGGAAAAGAGAATCAGATTCCAGGCTGAAGGACTAAACCTGTGTTGCATTTTGCTATTTGTGGGTGCCAGCACTGGGGCATAAATATTTTCTTGCCTTCACCTGTTGGCTCAGTTAGTGAGTTAGAGTGGTACCTCTAACAAGTCTGCTGCTGAACTGGGCTGACCTTACTAGGTAGGTCAGGTAGGCTCAGACAATCAGGCACGCGGAACTACCACATGAATTTCCCCGTGTTATTTATCCTAATGAGCCATAATCAGACTCAAAATCCTCTGTGAAAAGCAACTCAGAGACCGCTAGACAGAGCAAAAGTTTGCAAAAGGCTGTGACCAACAAACAATCACAGGCATAATGTCTAAGATGTGATTTCAACTAAAGTCTAGGCTGAGTCCAATTCCCATATTGTGTGATCTGTTTATGTATCTCCTCCTGAAAGCATTTTCATGTTGAAAGAAGGAATTACCTTTCCAGTCACAATAAAGATTGCATTATTGTTTAATCAGAAAGTCAAATCTATGTATTAGCCAATAGGACTGCACAAGTGTTTAAAATGAAGTGCGCACTTAACTGACTTGCTGGATCTAGGCCAGAATATGTAGTCATTTGTAAGATGCAAAATTTTATTCCAAATTCTGCTGTTACTGGGTACTGGGGAAGTGAAACTGCCTTCCCTTTGCCCTGTATGTCTAGTATCTTTGGAGTATGAAGGAAAAGGCTTTTAGCTCCAGAGTTATGCCTAGCTGCCTTGCTTCCCCTCCCCACCTTCTTCCTTTGCCCTGCACAATAACCAGGCATGGTCTCGCTCTTAGCCAGATGGGTTGGATATGTAAACATTCACAGACAAACCTAATGCCTCCTTTATACTACAGAACAGACTCTGCACCTACTTGCTTTTAACCATGTGTGTTCTTGCCTATTAAACCACCTTGCACAATCTGAAGTACAATTTCATGGAATGGAATACTGTTCAAACTGTGGCTTCTGCTCTTTTTGACACAGACTGCCTCTGTGGACTGGCAAAGTCTAAGATCCCAGTGCTTTGCTTTCATGATTAATCAAAACCAGCCAGAGAAAAATAGTCTAAAAATCAAAGAAGATCTAGGTCTTAACCACTGTTCTTCTGCATTTGGAGTAACAGCTAGTGAGAACAAACCCAGTGTTAAGGTATCCTTGTCCTCTTAGTCTTCTAGGGCCATGCAAGGCTCTTCCCAGCTCATGCTATCAGCCTATCAGTGTCTGTTCTTTACAGCCCCTGCAGAGCACAGGAGAAGAAAGTAGCTGGAATTTCATATGCCTGGGCTATGCTTCCACCAGTTGAAAGCATTTACACTGGAGAGACTCTTAACCTGCATTTTAAGATGACTTTAGATGGGTACAGAATAGTCCTAGTGAAACCAAAAATTCACATTAGAAGGAACAGGAAGCTTTAAGAAACACTGCCAAAGTTTTTACAGTTCTGGCATTTGCATAGATGCACTTTGGCTTGTTCACAAATCAAGCAATTACACAATCTAACAGTTACTTGGCTCTTCAGTCCTCTGACATGTATGTGTAAATGATTTTTTTTTACACATATATTTAGCCATGATACTATTAGATGATGGTATTATCAACAGAAAGTATTTGAAGGTGAAAGTGATTTCGATGATTTCTGGTACACTGTTTCATTGATTTGACTGATGCTTACTACATTTTGTCAAGAAACTGAAACAGAAAAATGGGAAGAAAAAGCAAGACCAAAAGCAATATAGAAATGACAGAGGAAAAATTACCTGGACCAAGCCTCATGATCTTGGGAACCAAGCCTTTGTACAGAGCCAGAAATCTGTAATAGAAGAAAAACAAACAAAACATTTCAAACAATATCTTGCTCTAAAAGAAGAATGGAATTTTAGCATGTGTTGATTAAAATGCTGGCAGAGCACTTAGAAGCAATTATTTGAAATTACACATGTTCAATAGCAGGCCATATCTGGATTTTAACATTTTACAGAGGCAGATCAGATGAAGAGAAAAAGTTAATCAATGTTCAGCCACAAAAGCAACGTTGTGAGCCTAGCCAATCAGAAATATGACTTTAATCAGTGAGGTGGTTTTACTTTCAAGACAAGTCTGTTAACAACAGCTGCATGCATGGACAAAATGACCGCTATAATTGAATATCAAAGCTACAACTCAGTCCCCACTTGAGAAGTATTTTAAAAAGTTGGAAAACATTAGTGCCACAATATGCCCTGATTTAATTATTTCAGCAGTCATTTTAAAGGTACAGAGGTCTGTATAATTACAATTTGAATAAACTGGGAAATAATCTGTTTTCTGTTGATATTTTACTTTTACAAAATGAAGAGTTGAAAACATTATGTGAGATATATGAAGCATTTATTTGTGGAACATAAATTTTGACAACCCAATAATCATCTTGCAAGTTGTTTGTAAAAGTTCACATGGAGTAGGAGGATATCTCCTTGTAATTCTAAAGAATATTTTCAAAATGTCTCATTGTGCCTTTTGATATGTGAGTTCAGGGTGGCTTAATGGTGCTCGTCAAATCTGAAATATTACAACGTGGTTTTATGGACCCATATGAACTAAAACAGAGGTCTGGACATGTATTAAAATAAGAATGTTTTACCCTTCCTCTTTATAGACTGTTGCCATAGTTTTAAAACAGGTTCTGTACTTGATCTCTCCAGGAACTGGCTGTGGTCCTTGAATCCTACTTTTTGCAACATCAAAAGGAATGTTAATAGTCGAGGCTATTGTTCCTGAGACTAGCCCTATTCCAAATTTCCTCAAAAACTCCAAATTTGAATCCTGCAAAAAAAGAGAAAAAGAAGGAAAGAACAAAAAGGGAAACGGAAGGACCTGTGCAGGTTAAGCACTCTAAAGGAATATGTATTTAATCAGAAAACTCACAACACACTCGTGTTATTTTAGCGGAACACATTAGGATTTCCTATGCTGGAACTTGTTTTCTTGACAATCCTATTGGCTATGTTTTTACACATGGTCTAAATTGCTGAAGTACACATTTCCTCACACAGGATTTATAAACACAGTTCATAAAGAAAGACTGGTATGGCATATGGGGATGATTTGTATAATTGGGCTTCACAATGTACTTAGTATTACTGTATCAAAACAGGAGAAATCCAAGCACACTATTAGCTAATTGGCCAGAATATTTTACAAATGACAGCAACTTCCACCATGAAGCCTACTAAAACGCTCATTTGTGTGTTGGACCCCCAAATGCTAAATTAAATAAAGGCTAATCTCAGTCTGCTGCCATTCCCCTCCAGGTTTTTTACATTTATTTTCACATGTAGCTGATCCACTGTACTGAGAAGTGCTAGCTTCCTGTTATTAACAATCCAACTCGGCACAACTGCAAAAGAGCCTCCATGTTCTGCGCATTATAAACGGTGGTAACTCACTCGGCTAATTGGCTGAAGAATTTACAACAGATTGTTTCTGAACCCTACTATATGTTCATGGTAAAAGTTAGAAGCAGGTTAGAAGTGCATCTAAAAACTTCTTGGCTCACTCACAGTTCACAGTTCAACTGGGTTTTATTTGATCCTTTAGAAAGACCTCCTACCTTGGCTTTTGCTATGTCATCAAAGAACCCAGAGTTTATCTGGGAGTCGAAGACTCTTGAAGCAAGTTTAATCCTATTTCTTTAAAAGAATGTCACAGAGAAGTGTGTTCCAGGGCATTTCTTATGCACAGAAATTTTTTGCTATTGCTCTTCAACACAAAGGACACTTTTTTTTTCCTATAGCAGGCTCCATATATGTAGTTCCTTTTTCTTCTTCTTGAAGATACTTCAATTATAGAAAATTATGAATAAAATAACAAATGACATTGCTATGTTAAAACATCAGCACAATATTAAAATGAAAGAGTTCTTTGTTTCCTAAACCTGAAGATTTGTGACTGAAAAAGGAAACAATGAACTTTTCCTTTCTATATTAGCAACAAGAACAAAAATTGTAACTTCCAAAATGTGCACTAGATGAAGTCCATACGGGTGTTTAAAGAGAAGTGTCAAAATCAACAGGGCTTTTTATTGCTTGGAGAAAAACTCAACACGTTGATTTCACAAAACATGAAATATACTGGCAATACCTTTTAAAAATTAGAATTACTTGTGCTACATGAAGAATTGCAAGACTTTTTTAGGAAAAAAGTTTATCAACAAATTTCTGCTTATTCTGTACACACTGACAGTGGTTTAAAATTGAAGAAAAAAAAAGCCAATATTTTTGGTATCTAGAGAAGAAAAAAGGACCCATTTTGAAGTTTGAGGGGTAGCAGCATGGCAACCCCAATACAGCATGGTGCCTGCCTACCTCCAGGCAGCAGGCGTATGGTTATACCAACACCTGAGAGCTAAGTAGTATTCCAGATTGTACTAACCTCCTCAAACCAGGTTGCAGCAAGCAGGCTCCCACTGCTCTGTTGGCTTTTCATAGTCCAGAATGGTCTGAAGTATTTTTGTTACACAATTTGGTGCAAGGACACTTTCCTCCATAGTGCAAAGCACAGTGGGCTGCCCTCTGGGCTAGGCAATATATGTCAGGCAAAAGCATTTACTTATTACACATTGGATTTCAGGACTTACCGCTCCTGACATATCCTTTATATTTAAATGATTGAACATTTTCATATTTTGATGAATTTCCAGTGCCAGTGTTGTCTGCTTTATGACAGAGTGCCACAGACTGTAGGATACAGTGGGTGTCTGGTCAAGTGAGCATCTATAAAAACCTGACACTGCACTAACACAGATGAAGGAAAATGAAACCAAATTGCTTTATATCTATTCCAGTGACACAAAGGAAGTTGAAAGGCAGCATTCTGAACATTTAAAAAACTGGATTCTAACAAAATGAGCTAGGATGTACACTAACTTTCTATGTAATTTGATTTTTTATCATGCACCTCATGAGAAAGTATTTTAAGGAATCCATCACTATAATATCTGGGTAATTTCATTCATATAACAGATCAAAATAACTTCAGCTGTCAAAAATAATAGAAAAGCATTTTTTCCTAAAAGTATATCTTAGTGGCATTTTACTGTGTTAATGCTTCCAATTGAAAAAAGAGATTTGCTAACATAATTTATGATTCTAGACAAAGGAGCATTATCTGTCTATCAGTCAGGCATCAGTTAGTTTTATCAAGAAGCAGTGTCTTTATACCAAAATCTCTCCTTTTCCAACCCATGGGCAATGCCAAAACATTAACGGTCTAGAATCCTGTGAAAGGTGACATAAGTTAACTATCTAGTGCTAAATCTGCAAGTGGCTAGCAGTTATCTTCATGTTATTGTCAGTAACGTTGCAACATGCAGTTCACTGATTAAATATGATAGATTTCATGTCATACGTTAGAAAATAAGATTCTGACAAGCCCCTCTTGCTTTCAAAATTGGCAGACCTGGAGGAAAATCACACGAATTCTGATTTTTAAGCAAAGACAATTTTTATGTAGTATCAGCAGAGTATATAGAACAGAAACTTGTTTTTATATGGTGCCACACCACAGTACAGTGTACCACAAGGAACTGAAATGCCAGTTTGCTTATTCAAAATGCAGTAATTTTGTTGTGTTTGGATAACATAATCTGTGATCATCTTACCTTTTTACTATGCTCTTCACAATCACGTTTCCTGTACACCAGAGTCCCTGCCCTGTAATCACCAGCAGCCATTAAAAATAGGGAAATTTAGGCATCACTAATAAATCTATGGTCTGCTTGCTTTGGGAGAAAATATTTTGAGATGTTACCTGTCTGCTTTTCGCGCTTCACTATTCCTGTTGTAACATATTTAAAGAAGTAGAGACTCCATAAGTTCCTCCTGATTCATACGCTGCTTAATTTCTTCTTTTACATTTCATAATTTATAGGAATAGAAAATTCTAGCCCTAGCACATACACACCAATGTTCAAGAGTGTCTCTCACTGGAGACACTTTATCAGTTTCAGTCTCCAAAGCTCCAGGCTTTCCTTTCCCTACCACTTATTTGCTGGGCACTTTCTCAAAGCCTCACTTTACATCTTCCAGACTATCAATCACCTTCATCTGTACTGATGGAAGTTCACTTAATTCACTAAGCAGAGTAGCTAGTAATCCATCAATGAAATAACCCTTTGGTAAAGGCACGCATGCTTGGAACTCGGTTAATTTTATTTGTCCAGAATAACTGAGAAATCATTAGAATAGATAATGACTCACCATGCTAGATATATTTGCACTGGTTTAGACACCACTTTAGGTGCAATTCAAGATTTTGAACATAGGACACCACACTTGCATATGCAGTGGAGAAGTAGGTACATTCCAAAGAAGAGCTCAAAGTCCCTAGGACTGCTTGAAGTACACAGGAACAGATAATGTAGACAGACTGCTGACATGCATAATAGCATTTAGAAACCTGACCACAGAGACACTCAGGAATGCCACTTATTTTTCCCTTGTGAGGTCCTGTTCAGTCTGAGTGTCAGAATTTTTAAAAAGAACCTATAAATTTAACCCTATTACTAAGCAAAAAATAGCAACAAAATTGAAAGATCAATAAACATTAATGTCTAATTGAAGCTAATTTTAGAAGCTTGTTGGCTTCAATATTTCGATATTTGTCTTGAGATTTTTTTCACTTTTTCTTTCTTTTTTTTTTTTTCAGTAGCTGGAGGTACATATAAGAAAGAATACTTTTATACATTTTTATGTATGTTTTAGTAGTTCCGAGCACCCTGTAGATAAGTTCACTATAAAAGATTAATGGTTACTAGATAAGAAGAATGCCAATTCCAGACAATTTGCATGAAATAATAATAATAATAATAGAATGATGTCTGAAGCTGGTAATTGCAAAGCAGTCTACCAAAGTTACTTAGAGCAGAATATTTGCATTAAATGTCTTAAACTCCTTTGAAAATTTTTGTCATAATATTAGTTGTATAGGTGAGTTACACTTGGCACGAAAGTGCCAAAAGTGATTTGAAATGACCACTAAATTTAAATACCTTTGCTCAAGGTCACATAACGAGTTAGCAGAGAAGCCATGGATGGAGCTGAGAGACTTCGCACTGTAAGCTGCACATTTCACCTCCTTGTGTGTGACAGGGAAGACTTTAAAAGACAAGACTTTGATTTGGCCAACTCTGGTTCTGCCTGTTATACCTAGGAATTATGGAACTGAAGAGGGAGATAGGCCAGGAATAAGGATTAGAGTTACTTCTTGGCCCTTTTGGCAGAGGTAAAATGTAACAGCATAGGAACTTCTATGACAAGCTAAGAGGTGCCACAAGACCTGACTTAAGCTACATTGACTATAATCAAGTGCTTGGCAGCAAAGAACTGCTTTAGCTGGCCTGATAATTGATTTCAACCATTAAAAGGAGCTTCCTTTGTCAACAGATGGTGAAAGAAATGAACACATAGGTCTGAGGAAGGGAAGCTTCAAGACAGAGGAGAAAAGGTATGTTCAGAGAGGCAAAATGGGAGATAACTCTCAGGAAACCAACAAGAAACTGATGAAAAACTCAAATGAGTTTCTTTAAGCACAGACACTGAGCCAGAACTTGGAGGAGAGAAGGGGTCTGGGTCTTCCTGCTGAGTCAGCAGTAAGGAGGAGAAAATTATGTACACTTGCTGCAAGGCTCCAGAAGGGATGAAAATTAAAAGATGAAAGTGAGTCTCATCACTGTTGAGATAACATCATGATCTGATTCTTTAAAAGAATACTCAAAATTTTTGTTTGTGGCTTAATCAAGATTTGACCACAACTTAATGAACAGC